CCAGCCATGTCTCATCTTCCGTGTTCCCCCATGCCTCAGAGATGCGGAGAGAAGTGCTCTATCGCTAGTGTTGACTACTGCACATCCATTTCCCTCTCTCGGCTGGGTCACCTGTGCTGCACTTTGATTTGAAGGCCTTGAGATTCCACATATTCCATACCCTTTAGAGCTCCATGCCTCAGATGTGGAGGCGAGAAGGCGCCCAGGTGGAAAGCTGCCACTCTGGCCGTCTAGGCTGCACACCTTCTGTGGGACTGCATGTGCTTTATTACAGTTGCTCATTGTATTTTGGTCATGTTTTCCAAACAGACAGAAATCCGCTGGGAGAGCACCAAATTACCTGGCCCTTCCCTGCCTGCATGCTGCGGTTTCCTGCAGGAGGGAGCTGTCTTTTTTCCACGTTGTAGAATAATGTGCAGTGGCACCATACTTTTCCCTAATGAAGCCCCAGTGGCTGCACACGTGACACGCAGCAGGCTGTCTGCGGTCCTCCCAAAGGGCCACTGTTCTCACACCAAAGCTAATAAAGGCAAGAGTCTCACTTGTTACCCCTCCATCCTGAATTGCTGGGCCAGCTGCTGCCTGTGTCACTGGCAGAGCTTCCATTACAGGTGAAGGCCTGAGCAAGTATATTAATAACATACATTAGCCTTGATACCCACAAGCCTAGTCTATCCATGGAGGCAGACCCAACACACACACACACACACACACACACACACACACACACAAAATCAGCCCTGCCAAAATAGCAGCCTGACTTCAAACCCTAACCACACCACTTAACAGTATTTGTCTTGGGGGTTTCTTACCAATGTGTTCAACCAATTATTCATGCTTTCTTTTCATAAATATATTTTGAACAACTACTATATTCCACCTCTGTTAAGGCTAGCAATATGGGTATGAGGAAATCAGACTACTTCTCCATCGCAGAGCTTGGGAGAAGGCAGGCAGAAATTGCAGCCCGAATCTCTTGGTCTTCTATTGACCCAGCTATAAAATAAATCAGAGGAGATGTTATTCTTTATATTACCACCATCTTCTCAGGCTTAAAAATAATGCATAACAATAAAATCCTAACATATCATGTGGGCAGTTGGGATATGATCCCTGCCACAAGCCAGCAGCTGTGAGCTATGCTTTAATGATAGCTCATCCTATCCCATGAAATGATGCTATGAGCCCAGCTTCATTTTTGCCATTTTACAGATGGAAAAACTACAGTTTACAAAAAGCAGCAAGAAGGTTATGCGAGTCAATGGATATAGACTGAGAATGTTCTTCAAACTGGCAATGGGCTGCATTCGATGATGAGGGTCAACAGTGTGGGTTTATGCCATTATGACCAAGAGGGAGATCGCACTGGGCTGGAAATCCTCAAAGAAGAAATAACCTAAAAACTGAGATGGGAGAGAGACACACACAAGGCAGCAGGGTTGGTGGTGTCCAGGTAGAAGAATGGAAGGCCAGAGCAACCAGGAGCTTAGGAAGTGGCCAGACAGGAAAGTGACTTGATCCAGTGTCCATTTGGAAAGGCTGCTGTGGCGGCTGGATGGGAGGGGTCATGGTGAGCAAGATGGGACAATAGTTAGAAGCCTTCTGTCTCTGTCTCAGCAGGAGGCCATGGTAGTAGACTGTAAGAAAGGTGGTAGAGATGGCGGGAAAGGCAAACTTTTTGGGACCAACTGATTGTGAGGATGGGGAACACAGAGAAATCCAGGGCTACTTGCACCTGTCTGCCCTGAGGGGAAGTATCTGCAGATACCACTTTCTCACTCCTGGAGGAGACACTTACAAAAGGGTTGTCAGTGGACCTCCAGTCCTGTAAAGCCAATTGAGTCTCTTGAGAAGGTTATGCAGTAACCTGCAAAGACAGGAAGGAACACTTGGAAGATGTAGAGAGGAGACCCCTTAGAGAAGAGCCACTGAAAACAGGCTAAAACCCAGGTAGAGTCCCAGAAGAAACCAAACTGAACATGGGAAAACTTGCTGGTATTCACTCAGGATGACAGTGCAGTAAAACAGACCAGGGTACTGGTCATCATGATTTAATCAGATGCTCCCCAGGAGCGCACTGTCTTTGCTCTGAAGATTGAGTCTGGTGGCCTGAGTACCTGATTCTCCCACTAGGAGCTACAGGGAGGCCAGCAGGACCTGTCCATCCCCTGTGACAAAGAGTGTCCTGTCTCAGGGCAGAGTGCAGGAATGGCAGGTAGATGTGGTTTGCGATTTTCTTAAACATTGCCTGTCCCTAAGAAATAGCCATTGGGCTCTCACATTCTAAAAGCATGAACCCCACTTAGTACTGCCATCTGGGTAGTGACAGACACCTTGAGAGGCAGGCACTTTTCTCTTGCAGCCAGTCTGTGCTGTGGCTAGAGTGCCCAATCTGAATAAATAGCTCTCTGCAGGCTGTCATCTTTGATTACTTTTCCCTCTAGAATATATCAAGCTTCAGGCAGACTGTGCCCGGCTTTCTCCTCTCAAAGACCACTCAGTTGAGGATACCGTGAGTGAACAGGGTCTAGTAATTGGGTGTCTCCTACCTCCACTTCTGTTCTCTGACCTCTCTCTATCCACGCCATGGCTCTGCTTGTGGACTTGTCCTTGAGTGCCACATTCACTCTTTCAAGATTGTAGTACCCAGTCCCTTCAGCCATCCCAGCTTCTGTGCTCTGGGAAGCCTGGGGGAAACCCAGGAGGCTTGTGAAGATACAGATTGCCTTCAGATCTTAGGACTTCATTAAGCATAACTGACTAATTTGTCTTGCAATGTGAGACTCTTCTGCAAGCTGACTTGGCAGTTTTCTCTTCTCAGAGAACATTCAGGCTAGATAGTGTGTGTGGCAATAGAGGGAAAAAGATGTTAATAATTTTCATTTTCAAATGTGAGATTTACTTTAGAGTCCACATCCTGTTCTCAGATAATCACACTACTGTTTATTGCTGAGCAGGGTCAGAAAAGTGCAGGCTTGATCTGTTGAGGCTCTGAGTAGGGACCATTAAGTGGGTTGGAGTGAGCTTGCTCCTGAAATCAGACTTGATACCTGGGCAAAAGCAAGAATTTCTGCCTTTAGCAACAACTTCTTCCCTACCTATTTATGAGCATAGTTTAGCACGAAATGTTAGGGGGTAGCTTCTGGGAGCTTATTATCTTCCTCCTCGAACCATCTTAAAAGGCTTCAGGGAAGGAGAAAGGGCAAAGATTTGGATCTAGTTATCATGACGAAACCTCCATAAAGTTAGAAATTGCAAAATGAGAGTGACCTTCACCCAGTGCTCACTGGTATGGCAGTTTGCTGTGCTGGAAATATTCTGTACCAGTGTGAGGTCACTCCAGCTCTGGCTAATGAGCATGTGGAATGAGACATATAACTGAGGAATTAGGTTGTAAATGTATTGAATATCAATGTATTTAGATAGGATTACACGAGTATCCATTTTCGCTTATTTTGTATGCAGCCAGTTTTGCTTATGGTGTAATTCTTGCTCTAACGCTACCTATAAATCTTTAATAATAATTATAAATTAACAGTACCCATATCTAGCATATCCGTCATAATGATGATATAGAACTTATACTTCGTTACGAACTTCAAACATAGTCTAATTTGTGGTCACTTAATGGCTCTATTATCCTGAGTTTATAGACAATAAACCAAAAAGATTAAGCATAGGTCTGAGACCCCACAGCCAGTAAGTGATACAGCTGAGATTGACTCTAGACAGGACATCCCCACAAGGTTACATTCTTCTGCCTGACAAGACACTTCTTCATTCCTAGTGGGTGTCTTTAAATATAGTCAGGCGAAGTAGTGTCTTGAGATCATTAGCAACTTGCTGTCAACAACCGGACACACATTTAGCCAGTGCCATGCAGAGGTTAGATCTTGGATCCTAGAGGAAATGAAGGCAGCAGGGACAAATGGCATGCTGCATACAGCCAGCCTGGCTCTGCATTTCCTAACCAGTTTAGAGGGTGGAGAAAATCCTTGCCTGAAGTCTGGGAGACTGGGTGGTTGCACCAAGCCTAGCTAAGGAAATAACGGGCCTGGATGAAGAGTATACATTAAGTATAAAAACAAGGAAAGCATCCATAGAGTATTACTTCCTTCTGCAGATCACTGTCCCTGGATTTGGAAGGACTGTGCTATTTGGAGGCTGACATGGAGTTGAGATGAGACTGTCTCCATTATTGCCCTCTGTGACTTCCAGGGAAGAGCCTGGGGCATCACTGGGTTCCAAGCCTTTAGCTCAACACTATGCAATACTCGGACGTAGCTCTGCGTTCACATAGTGATTTGTTTAACTTCTTTTCCTTGCTTGTTCTCCTTAGAGCTTTGGAATCTGGATAGGGTAACAGTTCTGCATGTTGGTTCCTTATCCCTTTTTGGCTTCAAGTTTTTTTATTTGTCTGCAGTTGCTAAAGGCCACAAAGCATATGGCTTCTTTTCAGTCTTGGTAGCAGGCTGAAGTACCTGCACCCCTTGCCAGGATTCTCACGCTCAGAATGAAGGCGGGTCCTGCCCTGAAGGAGCATCGGAGAACAGTAGGAAGTCAGCTTCACCTCTCCATCCCTCTTGTCTCAACCTTCTATACACCTTCAAATAGCTTGCACCCACTTCCTTTCCAGCCTTCCTCCCATCGTTCTGGGTCCTCTTCCTGTTCTTAGGACTGTCTGCCCCAACTACTCTGCCATACCCTAAAAAAGATGGACCAGATACTTATAAATGGGCTGAGGCAGAAAGGCCTCTTCCATGGGAAAGACCTCCTCTGTCAAGAATGAGCATGTCCAAGTATGAACAACCCTGTGTGTCGTGGAAATCTAGGCTCTTTGTCCCATTTTTTACTGAGATGATGACATACATTGGGATGTATGTATTCTGTTTTCAGAATGTTCGGATAAGGTTTGCTTTGCATGCAGCTTGATCGATAGCGTTGCACACTCAGGTGAGAAACCCAGGCCCTCACTGTCTGTCCTGTGTGTTTCCCTGCAGCCTGCACAGACAAGGAGCTCAGGAACCTGGCTTCCCGGCTGAAAGACTGGTTTGGGGCTCTTCATGAGGATGCCAACAGAGTCATCAAGCCCACCAGCTCTGCTACAGCTCAAGGCAGTAAGACCACACTACTTTTGCTATTTCATTATAAATATCAGATTTCCTCAGTTATTAGACACCATTAATTTAACACTAACAGATTATGGCTTTAAAAAGAAACATTATGTTAAAATCTACACACTGATTTAAAATATGTCCAATTTTAGAAATACTAAAATATGAAAAAGTGATGATTTAGAATTAAAAACAATTAACTCCTACTTTTTCAAGTTTAATTCCAAAAATACCACGTTTAATATAGACATTTTAGAAAACCTAGCGTATAGGGGGAAATGTCATACATATGTATGCAATACAGCCAATTTAACAACTTAAGCATGGTACAGTTACAAGAATAGGTGTATGTATATTATAAAGTTTGTATACTGTATGGACTGATTTAGAATTTTCATGTTATTGAGTGGTCTTTTACAGTAGCCAAATAGGATCCTAATCATGGCTGTAACAAGTTAAGTAGGCCTTTAATTGGGGACATTTAGGTTGTTAAGGCTTGGCTAATATAAGCAACACTGTAGCAAATGTCTCTGATAATACGCTTTTGTGTACACTAGCCAGGCTGCATTTTGCTTTCCCCAGAAACTCCAAGACAGCTGTTCTCACTGCTTCCTCATTAACATTCAAGTTCCGAAAGCAGCCTCCAGACCCCCGCCCCCCGCCCAGAGCTCTTGTGTGCCCTCAGAGGCCATGTACATTTGCACACTCTATGCTTTGGAAGTCCAAGGGGACTGTTGTGCCAACTGTCCCAAAGTGGATTACTGATCCACATGATCCTTCAAGTACAGGGAGTTTTGTTACAACCTCCTCTGTATATCATTCTGATATTATTTGAACAGAGTATAAAAACACATTGTCGCGGTTTAAAGCAAAGTATTTATCTAATCTCTGATCCTACGCTTGTCTGGATGGAATCTGAAGCTCCTGGCTTGAAGGCAGGGGGTGAGAACTTCCATTGCCAACTCTTGCCATCCAATTGGACCAGCATTTCATCCACTGTGGCAGTGTGCGCGTTTTCCCAGCTACTTGGGAGTTTGTGGCAGGAGGGTCATTTGACTAGAGGATCCAGGGCAGCTTGAGCCACATCTGGGCAGATGCCATGTCATAAACAAAACAAACCCATGATTTTGACCTTTGTTTATTCTTTAATGCTCAAAGCTTTCTAGAGACAGCAATGAAGAATCCTGACCTGGGAAATACTTATTGAATAGATTGAATATTTTACCTCAATGGCAAGGTAACTTTGCTTCTTAGTGCTTGGTAGATGTGTCTTTGGGAAGGTGAGGCAAAACAGGTTATTTTTTTGGTTTGGGGGTGTTTCGTTTTTCATTCCTACCAGAGGTTTCTTGGGAGTTTCTGAACAGATAATTTTCATCGGGGGTGGGGCAGAGGATCTATAGGACCGTCTTCAAGTCCTCCGAGAGCACTTTCTGAGTAACCTCTAAACAGAGAGCATATTAATAGAACTATTCCTTATAGCCTCCATTCTACAGACAGCTGGGAAGCCCGAGAAAGACTTATTTGCCCAGGAGCAAATTGAGTTCCTAAAACCACCTTCACTTTGATGCCCTAAATCACTGGACCCAGGGGTGTAAAGGAACTTGTAACTCACAAGGCCAGAGAAAGGAGGGACACATTGGTCAGCCCATGCGTTCTAAAGGGGCAGCCCTGGAGCCTTGCTCCAGACTCACAGATGCCAGGCACAGGAGCCCTTTCCTGAAAGTGGCAAATGGGGTAGAGTGGGTTTGACCTTTTGACCATGCCCCCACAGCCTGGTATTTCTTTTGGTTGACAATCATGACAGTCAGACCAAGAGGGGACCATGTTATATTCCACTGCCTACCTGGAAGAAGGTTTTAAAGATGTATTCCATGATAGCAAAATGAATAAATTTAAATATGCAGTTAAATTCCCAACAAATATTTTCATTGATACAATGTGCCTATCATGCTGAGGTTACTAAAGCAAATGGAATGGTCTTCCCTCAGGGAGCGGCTAGTAGAATTAACAAGCATTGACAGTGAGAGGAGCTCATCATTTCCGGAGAGCTCAGAGGAGATTGCTTAACTAATTTGTAGGCTTTTGTATAGACTTTCCATAAAGATGCTGCTTTATCTTATATCTGGATCACTAAGCAAAGCTTCCTCATGATGCACATATCTGCGCATTAGGACCACTGGCCTATGCAGTGGTTACCGTATCACTATCCCCAGACATGGTACTGTAAGCCAACTGGATACTTTCAGGCCAGGTGTATCAAAGACAGGAGAGGCGACATAAAGAATGGATCAGAACTGGGCTGCGTGGGTTTCAGCCCCAGTTCTGCAATTGTATGATCTTGATATGCCTTCATCTGTAGGTAGATATGACACATTACTAGGATTTACTGAGATAATTAAGCATACAGTGCTTAGAAGAGTGCTCTACGTTTAGTGCCACACAAGTGAACAGTTTTATCTCCAGTGTCCTAGGAAATAAAACCCGTCCTCAAAATTCATTTCATAGAATAAGCTGAGATTGTATCATGCTTTGGGCTCTGAAAGAAAGATGAGCTTTAGGTTTGGGGCCTGCCTGACTGGGGTTTGTCTACAGGGCCGTCAGTAGCCAGACTGTGGAGACAGGTGTTAGCATTCAAGTGCACACCGTCTCTGTTGTGAAAACAAAGAATTCTTTAAGGAAACTATTTCTCCTTCCCTGGGGAAATAAGAAAGAAATTATTGTCTGAGTTGATTTGGATTCTATCTCATGTAGCTCCGTGGGGGATTTCAGAAAAGAAGAATGGGGCAGAGACAGTAACTGGGTGCTTCGCCCTCCAGCAATAGGCTGTTTGGGTTTAGCTGTCCTATGGGAGCCTCTAGATTATGCTGCAATTTCATTCCACTGCTGTCTTTTAAAACAATATTTTTCTTTTGCTTTGATTTTGTACTTCTTTCCTAAAAGTTCAGAGTTCAAGATTATAAGTTCTATCTCTTAGGGTGTTGGTATTTTTCCTCTTAGACATTACTTGTTTTAAGGTTTAGGAAATGAAACTCCTATTTATACCACAGATAAATTAGCACAGGGAATGAATTCTTTTTAGAATACATTTCCCTCAAATGCTGAGTTCCGTTTTAGCACATTTATATCTCATTCATAGAGGAAACAGTGAAGAGGAAGTGGGGTGCTCCTGGTCCCTCTGGGTACAAAGTTGGGGAGTAGAAGGGTTGGGTCCAGGCCTGAGGTGGCTGATGTGTCCCTTTCCTTCATAGGGTTTGACACCAGCATCCTTCCCATCTGCAAGGATTCTCTTGGCTGGATGTTCAACAAGTTGGACATGAACTATGACCTCCTGCTAGACCACTCGGAGATTAATGCCATCTACCTAGACAAGTATGAGCCCTGCATCAAGCCTCTCTTCAACTCCTGTGACTCCTTCAAGGATGGAAAACTCTCCAACAATGAGTGGTGCTACTGCTTTCAGAAGCCAGGAGGTAAGATGGGTCCAGAGGCCAGGCAGCCAGGATGGGCAGGGAGGACCACACCACACATATCAGAGAGGCCATAAGAGTTCTGTGCACAGAAAGACACAGCTAGCAAACTAAGTTTATGGCAGGTCGAAAGGCTCATTACTGCTTTTAATATGGTATTTCAAAAAACTAAGAGTGTAATGAAAGTGTCTTAAGTAGTTCCTTCCTTTGAAAGAGCCTTCTACCATGCTGTATCACAGCATTTTTGTCCATAAAATGGGCATGTAGAAACCTTCACTAAGTGAATTTCAAGGTCAGTGTGGGGTTCTCAGTGTGGAAAAATGCTGTATAAATCTAGAAGTATCACCAGGTGTGGTGGTGCACACCTTTAATCCCAGGACTCAGAAGGCAGAGGCAGGTCGATCTCTGTGAGACTGAGGCCAGCCTGGTCTATGTAGCAAGTTCCAGGCCATGTGGGGCTATAGGAAAACTCAGTCACAAAAAAGAAAGAGTATCATTTTCTATTATCACACAAATTCGCCTTAAATATTTTGGTCATAAACTACAACTAATGAAAGGTGAAAGTTTGGGAAATAGGCAAAAAGATACCAGGGTATCTCTGTTACCCAAAGTCAGACTAGAGAGTCAGCCTGCAGTCGGAGACCATCTAGGGACAAGATGATGTTCAGGAATCCAGTGCTGCACCTTCGTATCTGCCCTTGCTTCTATTGTGGCCTCCTAGGGGGCATGTCCAAGAGATCAGAAGTCTGGGGGCAGGGGGTAGCTACTACTAGTGCTTAAATTGCACAATATATATGCATGTATGCGTATACAGTACACATAGCAAAAATGTAGACACTCCAAGAGCATTCAGTGAAGAGTGTTCATATTCGTTTCATATTATCTGGTTGTCAGATAATTTCATAGGATTATCAGATACTTTCTGACTGGTAATACTGCTCTAGAGAGTGCGCATCTTTAAACCCGAGCACCACTGGTAATCTGCCATCCAAAGGAGTTGTATTAGCTATTTTGGGTGAGAGGCGGAAACACAGAATATCTGCTTTGTGGTGTTATCAGCCTTTAGTGACTATGGTCAAACCAAGGGGAAAAGATGTCCTGTCTCCCGAGAGCCTTTGCTCCATTTGTCATGGATGAGGCTGAGCATCTTTGCTCATCTCCAGACACTTAGATTTCCTTGAAATAGCTACATGTTCTCTGTACAGTTTTTTATGTTAGACTCGTGTTTCTGATTTTTTTGTATTTTAGGGAATTTGGAGCTTTCCTAGTCATAGACATTGCAATTTTTCTGACTTTGATTTGTGTATATTTTGCTAGGGAGAATTTTTGAATTTGGACAGAATTGAATGTCATTCTTCTTCTATGCTTTAAGTCATAAACTTGCATCAAGCTTAGCAGGGGATTGTCACCTTAATCTGGTAAAGCAATGCTCTCATATAACTTTCGTGGGGTTTTGTGTATCTGTATATTTCATGGGCAGTTGTGGCAGGACTCAGCCTGTACTTTATCTCGTTGCCTTTATCACTTATTGAATAATATTTCTTATATCAATAGCCTGACGAATGTGTAGGTATATCTTATATTTATTCCCTGAATATGAATACTCAGTCCTATCTACTTAACTATTCATAACTCAATTCTATCCAGTTTAAATCACAGTTGATTGACAGTATGTCTCAGTATATTGTACGTCTATAGGACTTGCATTGAATTTTTTGAATTATTTATTTAATAACCCCATGATTAGAAGAAGCATTTCATTACAGCTTTAACATATTCGATAACACACTCCAGAACAAGACTACATCTCTTTCAAAAGTGGCTGTAAATTTTTAGGTTCACAACTGAATTAATACAGTTATACAATATTGAACCCAGTATAAGCCCTGTAAAACATAAAATTGAATGAGTTTTTAACCTTTAAAAAAGATCTCCATTTCATTTTAAAATATGCTGTTTCTTTCATTACAACAGCATTAACATATTCAATAACAATTTCCAAAGCAAAGATGTGTCTCTTTCAAAATTGGCTGTAAAATTTTAGGTTCACCGTTGAATTAAGAGTTATACAGTATCATACTCAGTGTAAACCCTATAAGACATAAAATTGAATGAGGTTTTAACCTTTAAAAAAGATCTCCATTTCATTTTAAAATACACTGTTTCACACAGAAAAACTCGTTTTTAATGTTACTAACACTTAGATGTTTGCACATGCATCTCTAATCTCTATGTATCTAATTATTACTAGTCATAGTCAGTTACACTTGGATCCTTGACACCTGAATATGGATATAAAGTCATCAGGTATATTTCAATGATAATGTTTTTCACCTCTACTAATGAACATTAAGCAAATTTTTATGCTTCTTCCTCAAATATAACTCATTTTTAAAATTTGGTTTTGTTTTTTTTTTGGTGTATTTCATACAGAACATCCCAATCTTATTCACTTATATACCCACTTCTCAAATGGCACCCTCCCATATCCCCCCACCCACCCCTGACTGGAGCCCGAATACTCTGTCATCCCTGTTACTGTTCACTGTGGTGTTGGCGCCCCCAACTGTTCCCCAGTGCTTGTTCATCCGTTGAATCTAGTCAGCCCATCTAGAGTGCCTTGTTTTAGGAAGATCAGCGGTTCCTCATCTAGCAGCAATCAGTTGTCAATATTCCTTTAGATAAGATTGGGGTCTGCTGTTCATTTTCCCAGTTCTATGCTGGGTTACTGCCTGGGAGTCTCTTGGGCCCCCCTGGCCAACAACTCAAAGGAAGGTATCTCCTGTCTGGCATTGTTTCTTGTTATGTAGCCTTTAGCTATACACATGAACTCTTAATTATATTAACCCCTTTAATCTTTGGTTATACTTTCCTCTTGGGTGTTTAAGACCATACAGGTGGCCCAGATAAACCAATTAATTTTTACTCTTAAGGCCATTTGAGGATCTGTTCCTCAGGGGTCACATGGGCTTGGGAGGAGCCCCTGGCTCCTTTCTTTTACGAGTTCCATCTGTGTGAAGATAAGTCAAAGGTCCTACTTGACCACGGTTGGCTTTGCTTGGAATCATGGAGGAAATGCTTCCTCCATGTTGACCCTCCTCTTTGTAGACCAGACACGGGTTCAAGTCCATCTGGTGGGGTCTCCATGGCCTCCTTGATCAAGAGAACAGGTGACTCACCACAGTTACAGGACATTTTGAGAGATGCTCATAGTCCCCAGGAACTTAGTCGACCTAGGAGGGCAAGGAGCAAAAACTGTCCTTTATGTCCCTCTGACCAAATTAGTATAGGCCTCAAAGTATGGCTGTTAAACATCCAAGGTTAGTTCCATCAGTCTGGTACTTTTAATTACAATGTGCCATGTAGATAAAACTTAGACAAACACCAAACATTCTCAGATATACCTTGCCTAGATATATATTATATTCCTTGAGCTAGTTGTAGGTATAATTTGTCAGTAGGTTGTTCGATTAATATGTTTCCCTCTAATTTTTTTAATGCTAGCAAGGCATTATTTATCTCTCACATTGTCTAACCCTTCCACCATGATTCCCCATTTAAAGTACCCCCATTTCCCCAATTTCTCCCTTAACAATACCCTCCCTCTCTTGAGCTGCTTCTTTCCCTTTATCCCCTAGGTTCCTTGTAACCTTCCCTCCCCACTCCCTTAAAATAACCCCATTTTAATCCATGTCTCCCTTACTAACACCTGTTTCCTACTGTTCTCTTTCAGATTCATTCTTTTCCTTTACTTCCCTGGTTCCTCTTCGTTATCCTGGTTCCTGTAGTTATGTCTGGATACATATTCATTTATAAGGATTTGGTTGTAGGATCCACATATGAGGGAGAACATATGTTGATTTTGTTTTTCTGAGTCTGTGTTACTTCACTTAGTATAACAGTTTCTAGTCCATCCATTTACCAACAAATTTCATGATTTCATCTTTCTTTACTGCTGAGTAAAACTCCATCCTATATATGAACCACATTTTCATTATCCACTCATCAATTGAGGGACACCTAAGTTGCTTCCATCTCTTAGCTATTGTGAAAAGAGCAGCAACAAACATGGATGTACAAGTGTCTCTGCAATAGGATGAGTTCTTTGGGTATATGCCAAGGAGTGGTATAACTCCGTCAAATGGTAGGTTCATTTGTAGTTTGAGTTCTTCATACTGCTTTCCATAGGGGTTGCACAAGTTTGCAGCCCCACCAGCCGTGGATGAGTTTTCTCCTTCCCCCACATCCCCTCCAACATTTGGTACCATTGTTCTCTTGATCATAGCCAGTCTGACTGGGGTAGGATGAAATCTTAAAGTGGTTTTAATGTGCATTTCCCTAATTACTAATATGTTGAACACCTTTTAAAATGCTTCTTAGCCATCTTTATTTCTTCTTTTGAGAACTCTCTGTTCAGTTCCTTAGCCCATCTTTTAATTAGGTTACTTCCTTTCTTGATTCTTTGTTTTTTGAGTTCTTTATATATTCTGGATGTTAAACCTCTGTCAGATGTGTCGCTGGTGAAGATTTTCTCCCATTCAGTGGATTTTCTCTTCATTGGTTGCTTCTTTTGATGTACAGAAGCTTTTTAGTTTAATGAGGTCCCATTTGTTGATTCTTGACCTTGTTTCCTGGGCAGTTGATGTCCGGTTTAGAAAATCCTTTCCTACACCTATATCTTGTAGATTATTGCCAATGTTTTCTTCTAACAGTTTCAGAGTTTCAGGCTTCACATTGAGATCTTTGATCCACTTGGAGTTGACTTTTGTGCAAAGTGAAAGATAGGGGTTTAGTTTCATTCTTCTACAGGTGGAGATCCAGTTTTGCCAGCACCATTTGCTGAACATGCTGTCTTTCCTCCAGTGAATATTCTTGGCCCCTTTGTCAAATATCAGGTGGCTGAAATTGTATATACTCATATTTGGGTCTTCAATAGTGTTCCATTGATCTACAGGTCCATTTTTGTGCCAGTACCATGTTATTTTTATGACTATAGCTCTGTA